AATCATATATCACTTCTAATCTGTTCTTTCCCTCATCTGTTTCAATACAATATGCAGAATTTATCCAGTTAAGCCTCCCGAGACCACCTCTGTTACATATGCATTTTCTAGCTCATCCTATACTAAATGCTGTGCCTCTCCTGCCTCACTGGGGCCTCGGAACAAATCTCCAGGCAAAGTTTTGTTGCTATTCTTGTTACCAAATGAGGAAAATAAAAGGTTAATACTGAGAAAGGCTACCAAGCAAAGATCTCTGTGTGATCATAGGAATCCTGTGTGATTTTTCTTTAGTTTAGCTATCTTTGGGACTCGCCACAGTTTTCAGCTCACACCATCAAAAGACTGTGAATCTTGTACCTCAATGTGCATAAACTAACTTGTTGATCTTTTATTCGTTTATTTCTTTTATATTGTTGTTGGATTTGCGGGTGATTAAGTTGGAACTGACCCATAGCTGACCCTTTGGTGGGTTTTAAGAGGCAATTAATCGAACAGAAAGAGATTGCCCATTCTTTTCCACGTGCAGCAGCTGGTGGATTTGAACATTGTGCCTTCGAGATTGCAGCACAGCTTCTTATAACCAAATGAGGCATTGTAATGGAAATAGCTGAATGAACTTTTTCAGTGGGTGACATGCCCACTTAAAGAATGATATTTACCTGTAGGAAAGAGGATGGGGTTAAAAAAAAATAACAACAAAACTCCAAAAGATAGTAAAAGTGAAATAAATGTAGGTTTCTGATTTTTTTTTTCATTCTCTCAGATGAGTTGGGAAGAACATGCTTCTGCAAGAGGCCACATGTTTTACCTCACAGGCGACAGAGGGATAATGGATGAAGATGGCTACTTCTGGTTGACTGGTAGAACTGGAGAGATCATTGATCCATGAGCATCTGAGCTGCCAATGCTTTTCATTGCTATTACTGCGTTGGGGAGCTGTCAGGGTCTGGAAAGGCGTGACACCAATCACCTCAACTATATAGAAATTTCTAGAAAGTTTAGAAAATGCAGACATGCAACACTAAAAATTAAAGAGTATACAAAATCCCATATTGTGGAGTATATCCATTCTTCTAGTCTTCTTATAAAGAAATGTATTTTTAAAAAAATTATTGCCTTGTAAAACAATGAAAGAATTTTTCTTTTACTTTTCCAAGAGGGGAGTGTACTGGGGGGGACCGTTGGAAGGGGAGAAAAGTGCAACAATGAATGAATGAATGGAAATCCAAAGTCTCTGTAAATTTTCAATGAAATTAATAATAAAAAAGAAATGTTTAAAAAAGACAAAAATGTGTTGCCGCAGGAACAAGTCGAGCACCGGGCACAGACAGTGGTCCACGCAGGTTTGGCTGCGCTCCTGCCTCCCTCCGGGTCCCCTGCTCCTTCCTCCTCCTGGGCTTCTCCGGAGCCCTGGTGCAGGAGGGAGACCGAGATGGCAGATGAGATCGCCAAGGCTCAGACCATCCAGCCTGGTGGTGGTACAATCTTTGGGAAGATAATCCACAAGGAAATCCCAGCCAAAATCATTTTTGAAGATGAGCGGTGCCTTGCTTTTCATAACATTTCACCTCAAGCACCAATACATTTTCTGGTGATGCCTAAGAAATCTATATCCCAGATTTCTTTAGCAGAAGACGATGATGAAAGCCTTCCTGGACATCTCATAATTGTTGGCAAGAAATGTGCTGCTGATCTGGGCCTGGGAAAGGGTTATCGAATGGTGGTGAAGGAAGGTTCAGATGGGGACAGTCTATCATGTTCATCTCCATGTTCTTGGAGGCCGGCAGTTGCATTGGCTGCCTGGTTCATTTTGCTTTAGGAATACTTTTCTTTAAGGGGAGCTCTGGTGGCCTAGTGGCAAGAAGCTGCACTGCAATCCCAGAGATACATATTTCGAATCCCCCAGGTGCTCTGCCGGAGAAGGAGGGGCCATCTCCTCCTATACCAGTCAGATCCAATTTGATGGTACACACACACCCACAAAATAATAAAGTTTAAAAAAAGGAATACTTTTCTTTAGGCAACTATCAGATTTGCAAGTTCAAATATGTTAAACAGTAGTACACTTACTATTGCTTGTGTACGGAGAGATTAAGAAGGTAATTTGAAAAACTAATGTATAATAAAATATTTTGTTGCACGGTTAAAAAAATTATTGCCATAAAACATAGATAATTAAAAAATTCACCATTTTAGCCACTTTGAATTGTAGAATTCAGTGGCTTCATTACATTCATCATGTTGTGCAACCATCACTACGTGTCTCCAAAGATTTTTTTTCTCATTCCCCATGTTCCCCTTGTTGCAGCTCCTGGTGAACACTGATACCCTTTGTCTGTATTTGCCTATTCTACATATTTCATAAGGTGGGATCATGCAATACTTGTCCTTTTGTGTCTTACTTATTTCACTCAGCATGATGTTTTCAAGGTTCACTAACACTACTACGTTTCAACTCATCATCATTTCCCTTTACTGATAAAATGTGGAGTAAAAGTGGGTAATAGTAGGCATAGATCAAGGGTAATTAATATTATAAAACACAATGTATATGAAGGATTGTATAAAACACAGTATGAATGAAGATGTGAAACAAAATGTTCATGAATAAACATAATGTATATGAACTTTTTATGCAAGTCAAGATATTTTTTTTTCTACTCTTGGTATCAGCACCCAGGAAATTAAAAGATGCATTACATTGGGAAAGTCTACTGTCAGAGAGCTCTCCAAAGTACTGAAGAGCAATGATGCCAGTCTAGAGACTAAGGGGGGAGGGGTGTGATACTGCCCATGATCTTTGCAATTACTTGCTATGCAT